GGCCTACCAAACAAGCAAGTACCCTTGTGGGTCACACACACACTCATACCGACAAGCACTCAGTCAGGCACGCAGGTCACAAGCACGCACACACAAACAGACTTAGAAAACACAGCAGAATGCAGGAATCTCAGCAAGGCATCCATTCCATCGGCAGAACTTCAGAAATCAGCAGTGTTCTCAGTCTGTGTTTTGACGGGTCATTACACTACCTCCCCCTCAAGAGCGAGGTCCCTTCGAGCGAGTAACTCAACCAGAGTCCTTGCATAGTGCATCATAGGCATAGATAGCAAAGAGAGATCGGGCGTGTTCCGTAGGAGTCAGGGTAGCAGTGAATTTTGGTTGCTGTTCAACACTTATCAACCGTTCATAGGCATTCACGACACGCGGTGCACTCTGCAGTAAGTCTTTCATAGCAATCCAATAGAAATCGTCCAACGGATGGTACAGAAAATGGACTTTGTACTGTTTGTTTCTTCCCTTCCCACTGTGTTCGACAATCCTATCAACCTCATGTCCGCCATTGATTGCGCGGGGAATCATTGACTCTCGCTATTTGAAAGTCTCAGGTGATTCATACGGAAACAACTTTGACGCATGAAAGACTGGGTATGTGCGCAAATGTGCAGGCACATCGATCGTGTAAGAAGGACCGAAGGAATCACTCCCTACCTGGTTCAAGACCTGCCACGGACCGTAGTACCGAGGAAGAAGTTTTCGTGATACACCTTCTTCTTCAGAAAACTCAGACATTCCCTGTGAAAGGCGCAGGCTGGCGCTTCTTGTTTGCATGTTTGATCATGGCACTGCGTCGCCTTTCCATAGCTTCTTGTTTGCATGTTTGATCATGGCACTGCGTCTTGTTTGATCATAGCTTCTTGGGATGAGGAATTGCCAATCGTGGTACACCCCCTGTGAAAGGCGCAGGCTGGCGCTTCTTGTTTGCATGTTTGATCATGGCACTGCGTCGCCTTTCCATAGCTGCGACAGCAACCTTGAGCAACCGATCGTACTTAGCGTTGTAGCCTGGCTGGCCAGGTGTCAGACCAGGAGGCTGTTCAGGGAACAGGTAGGATAGAGGATTGCGAATTTTCCATCCAAGATGCAGTCGGTTAGGCATCATCCCGGTGGAAGAGTGGATGGAGTTGTTATACAACCTCTGCACGATTGGCAATTCCTCATCCCAAGAGTTCTGATCAGGCACAATTAAGGCTCGAAGAAGTTGGATCACCGTCTGGTTGATCTCCTCGGCCAATCCATTGGCTTCGGGATGTCGACCAGATGTCATCTTGAGTTTCATGTCATAGACCTGGGAGGTGA